TTAAAATTAAGTATTTACCTTGTTAAATTCGCCTTTTCGTATTTATTTGGGCAGCTGTCGAAGACGCCCACAACTTGACCAGCTGTTAATTGAGGCATTAATCGTGCCACAATGGGCGTACAGCTGGGCCACGCCCCCGTCCCCAAATGACTTAATATAGTGGCAGGCAATCTTGACCTTGCAGTCGTGTTGCAGCCTCCAACTGATTGTGCATCGGAATTATCCTCAAAACAAAATCAAAATCAACAACAACAACAAGCACTCAAGTGCAAGTGAGTGGCATGTAGAGTGGGACAGAGAGAGAGCGACCGCTAGGCGTGGCATTGGCTCTTCGCATCGACTTGCATTGAACTGCATTGCGTATGGCAATTGCATAAAATATCAAAATCAAAACGAAAATGAAATATAAAGGCAATAAAATGTATCCCAATTTCAAGTACGCAACATCTCGACTTAACTTTTGTATTTATACTGAAAACATAACAACAACAGCAACAACAACCATCGACAACTGCCACATGGAGCTGTAAAGATGTTTTTACCGATTTTAGAAGTCATAAGGTCAATGCTGAGTGCGCCAAGCGCCAAGATCGTGTTTTGATTGGGATTCGATGTTGTTGCTCTAGCTGTTGTTGTAGAAGTTGTTGATGTTGTTGTTGCTGGCGTCGCTGTCGTCGCTGTCGTCGTCTGTTGTCAAGTGTTATGACTCGTCCAATGCGCCTGTCCATCTGTCTCTGCGTTAGCTTTCAGCTGCACCAAACAAAGCGGCCTCTCTGTGCGTTGACTCTGGTTCCCAGACAGATTCAGACACTGCTGCAGTTGTTGTTGCTGATAAAGCAGCCATCAGACGCATCTCAGCAACTGCAATGAAATTGTGCATTAAAAATGAAGTTGCTTACAGTTTAGACGCGCATTAATTAATGAGCTGATTTAGATGGATGAAGCATAATTTGCAAAAGGAAAAACAACTTTATGCTAGACAGAAAAGAGGAAGGACAAAGCGGAAATATTAATGGAATGCTCGAGTGGTTGGATATTATTATATATATAAGTATATATAGATAAACTAACTTGCCTTTAAGACATTAATCTTAATATAAGCTACTGCTATGATACACATATTTATATATGCAAAATTATTATTGCCTTGAGCAAGTTAGTTTAACTATATTGTTTTGCTGATAGCCGTTTATTTAATTGTTGTTTAATAGTTGTTTTTATATACATTTGTTAAATATTTAATTTCTATTTATTTATTTATTTCTTTACTTTCTACTCCTAGTCCTCCTCCTATTCCTTTCTTATGTCTAAAATCCTTGTATTTCTGCTCCTTTAAATACTACTTAATTTTCGATTAATTTAATTTCTACTCCTCATTTGGCATTCCTTTATTTTCTACTCCTTTATATGCTACTTTTTCTTAACTCCCCTTTAAATATTTCTTCTATTTTCTACCCATTTTAATAGGCTCTCTTCAGTAATTTTATTCTCTTTAATTTTCTCTCTTTTACTACTTTACTTCGTCAATGTCTTACATCCAAATTGTATTTATCTATATATTTATTCCATAGTGCACATTATACAACTTTATTTACCTTTTCAATTGCCATTCAATGCTACAGCTCCTATTCTTCAATTATGATGCAATTTTAGATATGTTTAAATATTTAGTCAAGAGTTTTGAACATATCTCGCATACAACTACTATTTAACTGGCCCCCACTGCAAAGACCTTCCCGGTTGATGTATGTATCTATGTATGTTGAGGGTGCGATTTGTTGCCATTGTGTCGCTCAATGTTGCAGTTTTATGTTTTTTTTTTACACATCTAGCGTGTTGTTCAATCACATTTACTTCAGATTTATCAGTTAACAGCTAGTTATGGCCATTGTTGAGCACAAACACTTTGCTCAATGACCGTTTATTTAATGCTTTATCCACACATATACATATTGGTTTCTTGTTTGTTGTGGGAGCACAAATCAAAATGCTAATTCGCTGCGGCTGCCGGCTGCAGCTCGTAAAAATTCAATAAAAGATTATGAAAATTGTGCAGTCAAAAGCAGCAGCAGCAGCAACAACAACGGCAGACACCAACACCTGAATTGGAAATAAAATAATAATAATAATAATAATAAAATGCTTGGGACACACCCATAGAAAATTGTTAATAGAAAACGTTCGACGGCCGCTTTGAAGAGGCTGCAGCTACCCAATTGCTACAATTTGCTACAGGCGGCAAGCGGGCGGCAACAGCAGCAGCAACAACAACAACAACAACATCGACCTTGCGCTTATTGCCACAATTCTGCCAGCTGCACTGCTGCAGTCGACGTCGCTGCTGGCGTTTGTTGTTTATAGATTTATTTAACAGATCAGCATTTTTATTTTTCGGCTTTCTGCTTTTCGGCCAGACTGTTGTCAACTGTGCCACGTGGCGTATGCTTGATTTGTGGACAAGCCCCAAACACGGCATTCAAATATCCAAACAAAATAAATAAATGCACTTTGCACAACATTTAATCACATTAAGCAGCAGCCGTGTAAACGTGTTAAAGAGCCCGAGCATAATTTATACATAGCATTCATTATTAAAATGTCGCTAGACATTGAAAGCGACAACAGCCACACACACTCACCGAGAGGGAGAGAGAGAGAGAGGGTGAGAGAGAGGGAGACATACTGATAGATCGACATACAACAAATGTTCGTTGAGCATTTGAAAAGTTTTGAAATTCGTGAATTATTACTTGCACTTTAACTTGGCTTCGAGCGCGGCGATGACGATGAAAATATTTTACAATCTCAGCGCCTGCCAATTTGTATGTGTATGTGTGTGCATGTGTGCATGTGGTTGACATTTTATAGACGGTCGACGGCGACACCGTGTCGCCACCTGTCGGCTGTTAGCGGCGCAACAGGGAGGAGATACGAGGCGAGGCAACTGCTTCACTATGACAAAAGCCATTTGCGCCTGTCAACGCCCCGCAATTGTCTCCAGTCGGGCCTTAAGCCAAGACAAATGAGTCGAGGCTACAACTTCAAAACGGCAACAAATGAGAATGTTGGTGAAAAAAAAAAACAAAAACTCCGCACGGCAAACAATCCAAAAAGAGAACCGACAAAGGAAAAGATCTTTGCACCTTTGACAAAATTCTAATTAGCGTTTAGCGCGCGAGTTCATTAACATTTTAGTTGACATTTTCTGAATGGTGTATGAGTGAGAGTGTGTGAGAGTCAGTGTGCGTGTGTGTGTGTGTACTGTTCCCATACGTTTCCGTTGCCCAACTCTGTTTACAGTTCAATTAAACACGCACTTTTCGCTCGGCTCTGCTCTGCTCTGCTTTGCATAAAACAAATTGACAATAAATATTCCTGCAATCTGACTCGACCGGCGAACTACGTCGCTGGGCCTAATGGAACCGGTTGGACCGATAACCATTTAATTTATCGATGTATCAGACATTGCTGTAGAAACATACATATATACTCTTAATGCATATTTATAAAGAGAGCATCGGCTGCTGTGCGGGTGTTGGGCCAAATTGACTAGCCTATTAGTCTGTACAAAATTTAAGCAACAGGTTGACTACACTGTGCTACATAATTAAGAGATTTTTTGAATAAACCAAAAACAAAACATATAAAATATATTTAAGTATTTTTTTCAGAGCATTTTCAGTCTAAGGATTGTGTTCTGTAAACATGATATCATACAATAAATATGAGTCTAAATATTTCTTTGGGAATAATTTTCTAAAGATTATGTTTCTTCGAATATGATCTATATATAAATATACTTCAGTTATTATTTGTAAACAAACGAATTTAGCTGTAATATTACGTATTTTCATAATGTATTTCATTCACTCGCCCACTCAATTATGTAGCACAGTGTATGCTTTTAAATATTCATTAGAATCTCAATAAGAAAGACAGCCAAAGAATATGTCAGTAAGAGATTGCAAAAACTCAGGCATTCTGATTGAGAACTCGTTTTCAATTCTGTTTTCAGAATCTTGTCTCAGATATAATGTATTTTTTAAGGCATTGCCAGGTATTGGATTATCGTATCGGAAATGTTTTGTGTCGAGCACTTGGGCATATCTAAAGGATGTCATGTTATAATATCTATCCATTTATTTTATGACATTTCCATTGATTTCATTAGCGACGCCGTTCCCAACGTCAATCGCGGCCTAAGCTTTCGTATAATATAATATACAAACAAAAAGGTAACAACAACTGATTTAATAACAAATAAAAAACATGAGCATTTAGCGCACATACAAATTATAATTTCAAATAGCTTCAAGTGCCACTCGAGATCGCAGCGCTTAACAAAAATGTTAAACATTTTATCGGCCTTTTTTGTTTGTTGTTTGCTGTTGTTGCTGTTGTTGCTAGAGCTTTCAGAATATGTTTAATATGCGAGAACTTAAATGGCAGACTTTGTCGGCGATTTGTGCACTTTTCGACTATATCATTTGGCAACTAATCGAAGGCGTCGCTGGCTTTAAGTGTAAACAAATTAACAAGATCATTTGCCGTAATTGAGATGCCGATCTTGAAGGCGGAGCCCAGACTTAGATTGAGAACGAGCGCCCCAGTGGCCGAGTGACGGGTGCCCGGCTTTGATCTTGGCTTTTGCCTTTTGCGCTTATTTTTTTGGCGGTCAATATCGGGGCTGGTGGGGGGAGAGATCAAAACAATTGGCAGCGCCCTCTGGCGGTGCATTAACCAAAATGAATTTATGGACTTTATGCGCCCGGGGGACTTACGGCCCAGAAGTCAAGATCGTAAATTAATTAAGAGCGCAACACTGGCGGCATTTAAAGTAGTTGGGAAATGTGGAGCCGGGAGGGTCGCGGGCCGGCAGAGGGCTTTCGACCCACAATTGATTACCCCATCGTGGGGTGCAGGCCCCTTACTCAATGTGTCTAATGCAATCAGAAATTGATTTTTCATGGGCAACGCTCTTTTCCCGTCTATATTTTCAGATTCAGCGCACGAGAGGCGTTCGGCATGACGGAAACTGTTTAGGTATTCAATGCGGCTTCAGACCCAGTCCAAGTCCAAGAACCGAGAACCTTTGTAACTAGCCGCACAAATCAATCGACCGATCGAATTGCGTCCGAAACGGCGTGACAAGCGGCGAGCAACGCCCCGCCCAAAACTCCACCCCCCCTAGGTGGCCCACCGATTATATAGCCAGATAAACCACAAACAAAATGGACTCACGCATCGGCCTGGATTACATAGTCGAAAATCGTGACTACATTGCCAAGTTGGGCTCTGCCCTAGACACGCAGAATGCGACGGTCAAGAAGCAGGTCTTCGAGCTGCTGTCCGCGCTCTGCGCCTACAGCCCCGACGGCTATGCCCGTGCCATCGAAACTCTCGAGTTTTACAAGGTAAATACGCTACAATAGCAACAACAAGGCAAAGACCTTTTCATATTACTCACCGCCATTCAATGTTTGTCTAGAATCTCAAAAAGGAACGATATCGCTTCAAAATTGTCATCAACGAGCTGGAACAGTCAACAGCAGCTGCAACACCGCCTGTGGACTATCTAGCTACCCTGCTGGCCTTCATCAACTGCGTCATCATCTCGGAGCCAAAGCTGCAGGAGCGCATTCGCATACGCAACGAGTTTATAGGTAAGTGCTAAATAGACTATATAGACACGATTCATTCAAGAAAATTCTTATACACAGATACAACTGCGTATGCTTATACGTATATCATATGCTACTACTCTTATAGATACTCTTCATACATCACTCATACAGACACTTTGCTCTTTTAAAATAGATGCTGCTTTAATAGATAGATTTGAATCAGTCTTTAATTAAATTTATGTTATTTACTAACTTACTAAATATCTGTATTCTTAGGCAAATTTTAATGGCATTTCCTCTAGAACTTTGTTAATTTCTTTATTTAGCATTTTCTTCGGGTTTTCTTTTTGTTTTGCTTTGAGTTAGTGCTGATAAACAAAAGGCCATCATGATAAACACATTAGGCCAACCACAAAAAGTCATCAGCCGACCTCCTCCAGGTGCCCCTTCTCTGCATTGTTGTTGTTTTATTTGGTTGTTGTATTGTCTGTGAGTCAACTGCTTTGCCCTCTTGTGCTTTGTTAGCTGTCTTCGATTTCATTGATTTGATTGATGTGCCCGCTGATCCGCTGACGGCGCCGCTGATCGCCACTGCCCTTGACCATATGCCATATGCCACACATGGCAAATGCCCAGACGGAGTTGGTTAACTGCATGTCACAGCCACGCCAGCGACCCTCGGGGCTCTGGGCTCGAGCGGTTGTTGGCTCTGGGGGTCGTGGATAATGATAGTTTCGGCAGCGGGTTTGCCATTCCACATATCGTCAAATCGTCGAGTCGCCTTTGTCGCTTGACGCAATCCAATTGAGTAACCTTAGCACGTGCCGGCGATTAGAGGTGCGTCTCCAAAGCTGTTGACCGACTCAGTGAGAATCCACTCATAAAAAGGGCATAGACTAGAATACAACTAATTGGAAAACGTGAGAAGCGTGACTTGGGCTATGCTAAGGAAATTCGTTGTAAATCTCAATGTTTTCATTACAAGCAAGTCAACAGCTTTGGCTCTGCTGCACCCCCGAAAATTCCAGTTTTTATGACTGAATATCAAAAAGAAATGTGAAAAATTCTGTGTCACACACATAAATGTGATATTTCCAACATGTTGCCATGCATGTGTGCATATACTTGGGATCAAGGGTCTGCGCTGCATGACGACAACAAATTGTTATTTAATTCTGCCCTGTCCGAGTGGCACTGCAGAGAGCTGCTGCGCTATGCCAACAGCATAGACACGTAGTTAAAATGTAATAAGTCGCCTCTGTGCCAGTTGTTGACAAACAAGGGACGCGCTCACATCCTGTCAGCCCGACAGACATCTCGAGCCGCCCCTCTCGCCGACGATGCTCGCCGGCCTGAGCAAAGTTCATGAACTGTGCCCGCGCGCCGCTCAAACAAACTCCCGGCTTCGGTTGCAGCTCCAGCCCCATCTATCTCAGTGGGCTGCGAAGACCCGCTTCTTATGACTTTGATTGAGCGCAGTTGTGCGTGGCGTGCGCAGGCGCAGCGCCAAATGTGGGGAGCACTCGTTGAATGATGAGCGCTGCACTTGCCAGCGACTCCGAATGGGCGGTGGACGGTGGACAGCGAGAGGGAGCGAGAGACGGAGCGAGGGGCTTTTTATTGTTCTTAATTAAAATAAATTGAGCTGCGCTTTTTCAGCATTACAAGAATATAATAAAGCGACTGCGACAAAAACGAAATCTCAACAGCAAAATGTAAGTCACGCACTTCAACTGCTCCGCTATCTCTCGCCCTCTCTCCCTCTCTCCCTCTCTCTCTCACTCCCTCTTTATCTCTCTGTGTGTGTGTGTGTGTGCTGGGAGGGGCTTTAGTGGTAGGACATTTCACACATGCAGTTGCCATATCGACATGTACATTCCTCAGCGACACATTTGACAAGCAACGGCCGCATTTTGTTTGGCAATGAGCCGATGTATTCAGTTTCAAGGCCATTGGCCTCCATGCTCCACGCCCATATGCCCTCCCACACCGCCGCCACGTAAGAATCTTAGAGTTTCCATATAAATATTTGCATATATACATAAATGCGATTCAAAGATCTTGCGAGTTCTGCTAATGCCATTTAAGTGTCCAATTATCGGCTCAGCAGATCTCTCTCTCTCTCTCTCTCTCTGTCTCTCTCTTTGTCTCTCTCTCTCTGTTGAAAACTAGAGTTCTTGAGTTATATTTAAAGGCGGAATCCGTGCAAGACCCGGTCAGAGTATGGCCAGCATATCTGCTGTATGTCATCTGTCAAGTTCATCGCTGCCGGCTGTGCGGCATTTACTGATTTATGCCCCATGATTTTCCACTTTGGCACGCAAAGTTTTTCATAGTTCCAAGTTGTTGCGGCTGTGAACGCGCCATAAATTTATTTATTTAACAATTTTCCCATTTAACTGGCTGGCAAATTTCAATTTCAATTGATTTATAAAACGTCAACAGCTTATAACAATATATATATAAATGTATATAGATATACATATAAGTATGTTTCTCAGCACATAACAAACACAAATATTCAAATCGAATTGATTTTAATTTCAATTTCTGCTTCATTATTTGCACTCGTGTTATAAGTTATGAGAGTATATTAGTTTTTTGAATGGTATGGCTCAATCACCATAAGTTTTTATATGTATATAAAACTCGAGCATTCAGAACTGTGATAATATATTTCGATTAATAGTGATTATTATATAAAATTCAAAATATTTATATATTAATTCAAGTAATATTCGATATAAGTAATATGCAATAAAAGTAATATCATATTGATATATATTTCACACTCTTAAAGCTAATTTGATATGAAATATTGAAGATTATCAATCTGCCTCAAATGCTCAATCTTCTTGCCATTGGAAAAATTCAATGAATACATATACTTTGAAACCTCTTTGAGCAAGTATTACGCAGCTGTTAGCATCCATTTGCAGCATTTATTTCGGCTAGTCTTAAGGTTTTGACTTGATTTCTTGTTGCATGGCATGTTATTAAACAATTACGTTTGGTTCATTGGGCGTGTTTGGCAAATTCCTTGGCTTTAGGGCATACAAGCAATGGCAGCTGAATTTGCTTAGATCGGTTCTCCAGATCTCAAGAGACCCCCAAGACTTTCCAAATGCTTTAACAATGGCCGGACAAAGAAACTTTTCAACACATCTACACAGAAAACAGAGACACTCACATTTTAATTGTGTGCCTTTTATGGTTTTCAATTTCAAATAAATAAAACGACAACGAAACACAAAGTCGTAAAATAAAATTATGAACGTCAAGGCGCCAAATAAGGCGAACATTGGGTGGGCAGACCAACCAGGGGATTGGGTGGAACAGCAGCGATACACAGAAGCTACAGCGAGGCGACTTTCACGAGCATTTTTGTAATTAATTTTTTATTATATTTATTTACAAGCGGCCACATATCAAATACAACAAAATAAAGTCTGTGCGCAAATGCGAGCAGGAGGCGAACTAAGTGAAACAAACAAACAAACAGCTCACACAAAAAACAAGCTTGACCGGAAGCGACTTTTGCTGCACACTGGGCGGCTAGATCAGGTCCCCAATACACCCAGTGACCAGTCAGCATTGGGAGTTGGGCACGGGCTAAGAACTGTCTTGTTGACAAATTCAATTAGCAATTTCTAATTGTTTTTGCTGCAACAGGCGGAAGGAGGCGTACGCGAGATAAAGTTGATATTGGATTAGCATTAGTATTGTAGTAGAGTTTAGCTGCCTTGGCTCAATTCAATATATAGATAGATATATAGATTTCTGTTAAACACACATATTTCGTTTCATTTAATGACAAATGAAATCGAGGTTAGGAAATTTCAAACAGATCTAGAATAGAGGCAATCATATATAAATGTAGCAGGTTCAATTCAATTACCTGCACATATGAAGCAAAAGTAAGAGACAAACATGGATCAGATGATATTCAATTCGATGTCTACTGCCATGCGACATAATCGCCCTGATCCAATCGATGTGATACCAGACATTCGTATACACGGATGGATATTTATCATTGCCACAGCCGAGGCCATAGGTAGCTACGCCGTATACGGTGTCGTTCAGAATGAGCGGATCACCCGCATCACCCAAACAGGGGTGCTCGTCCAGCCGGGGCACGTGCAGATTGCCAACGCATAGCATGTCCGGTGTGAATGGGCCAATCAGACTCTTGCATGTGGCGAAATCCTGCAGCATCACGTCGATAAAGAGGATGCTAGAGGCCATGGCTCCGCCCTGCAAGCAAGTGTTGGATAACGTGAGATCAAATCAGCTGAATTGGGTGATATACCTTCAGGACGCGTCCCCAGCCCATGGATCTGTAGTAGAGACCTTCCACAGCCGGGCCGACGGGCAGCCCCACTATGCCAATGCGAAAATTATTTGTGGGTAGCCTCAAGCCGGTCTTCAGCAGTGCTATGTTATTCGTATTGAATATGGTGTAGTTCTGGGGCACATATATCTTCTTCACCGGGACATGCCTGCTCTCCGCGAACAGTTTTAGTCGATTGGGTGCTCCAGCAACGATCAGCATCACGCGACTGCGACGCAACACCTTGTGAGCGCTTCAAGGAGAGCAATTTATATGGATGAGTACATACTTATATGCCTAGATAACTGGACTATCCACCTCATCACGCATTTCGCGGCAGTTAGAATAAATATGGGCGATATGATGCAGCCACCACAGAAATGGTTATCCCCAAAGTATTTGTATGGAGTGCGCGATCTGATGGACACCACATACTTGCCGGTATTCCTAACGGACTGAACTGTGTAAGTGGGCGTGGCTAGTCGCTTAACACGCCTGGTATCAGCTAAATTCTGCAGGCCAAAAGCTATTGACAAAATTAACAAAATCTGTAAAACAAAGTAAAAATTTCTAAAAAACATGATGAGTACAATATATTTGAATGACATTTATCGTGTGGGTATATGATGTGGAAAAGAGTTTACTATATCAACAAAATAAATATTGCTGACCTCTGAAACCATTCAACTTGTATAAGACTGCCCTGCTTTGCCATGCTGATAGCCTATCAAAATATCAAAAACTATTTTGACCTCGTTCTATGCCATAGATATTAGTGTTTCTGACTTCCTCTTCTGTCTCATTCGCTCTTGCTCTCTCTCTCTTTCCATGCAATTTTCATTAATTTCAGCACTAAATACATTTTCGCTGATATATAATTGTATATTAGCTTGATTCACTGAATACTACTTATTATTCCCATGTTGTTCTCTTTGCAGGCCTCAAATTATTGCCGCTGCTCAACAATCTAAGGTGAGTTTATAGGTTTAATGACCACTTAACATGGCTCCAACGGATGGCAAATGTTAGTCAAAGACATGGCCAGGCACCCACGTTATGCATATGTATATGTGTGTGTATGTGTGTGTGTGTGCTGAATCTAGACAATTTATGCAATGTTTGTTAACTGAAACCCTGAAACACACCCACTACAACAACAACAACAAACAATATAAAATGCCTTGCTTGATTTTGATGCGAATCCAATGTGAATACAATGTGAATACACTCGTATTTTAGCAATCGAATACGCATTCGAATTTGCATGCAGCTCTCAACATGGCAAGATCAAGGTCTAGTCGCTAAAAATTCACATGGGTATGCGAAGTGGAGCTCCGCTTGGGCATCTCCCAGCTGGACCATTATTAACGGTCGTTTAAGTGTGGTGGCCAAGCTGCGCCAATTTGGACGCTTGTCAAACATCCATCAAAATCGACAACAATCCGAATACTCTTCTTCTTCTTCAGTTGTTGTTATTGTTTTTTTGTGGCTTGTGTGTTTGGGTCTTATGCAAATAATTTGCGCCGGTTTTTTATTGTGGGCTTTTGTTTTTGTTGAGTCTGTCAAGCAATTAATTCAATATTTAATTAGTCAACAATAAATCAATTAGTTAGCTGCTGGCTGCCCCTCGCCCCCTCACGCCCTTAACGAGCCGCTCGACTGGTTTATAAATGGGGCCTGGGCCCAAGTTGACAATCATTTGCCGCTTCGTATAAAGCTAAGACAAATTCAATTAATTTTTTCAAATAGTTCAGGCCCAAAAATGAACAATAACAATATGGAAACCCTCTGCCATACCCCGATCGCACCCCTCCCCCCCTCTGCGGCTACACTGTGGCAGCTTCTCTCAGCTCTCGTCAGAGACAAAATGCCTAATTGATTGTTCTGTGCCATTTGTCTTGTGGCTCTGCGTCTGAGGCCAAGTGAGGCCCATTTGTTTTGTCTTATGGCAGTTGACACGCCCCTTTTCGCATCGCCCCCCCGCTATCGCCTCTCTATTGTTATGAAAAGTTTTTTATTTAATGCGTAGTTTCTTGCGCGTTTTAATTTATTTCAAATTCACAAATCGCTTTAAACGTTTTCATTGAGCCGAACAGCGCTTTGATTTCAGCGACCCCAGCCCCCTCCCCCCGTTCACACTCACCCGCAGCGTCTTCGAGAGGTGCTATAAATAAATAGATATTCATTTGAGTTTGGGGATCTGCGTAGCTTGGAAGCTGCTGTGTTTCTATAAGCGGATTTTAATTGCTGTCGCGTCCAATGGGTTCTAATCAATCTTGAGCTCAATCAATATTGAATAACAGCGATTTCCAAAATACCAATAATTTGTGAACACATGAAATGACAGTCAGGCATCAAATGGAAATAAGTTACTGTGGAACATAAGAAGAAAACGGCAAAGCATTTACATTTTAAAGCGGCTTTTAAAGACGGCCTAATCTGTCTATCGATTTACGAGGTTTTAGTGAAGAATTCAACAAGAATGTTAAGTATATTTGCTGTAAGTTTGATAAAGAACTGAGAATGATTTATTTAAATAAAACCAATTTGCATTTACATTATATATATACATATATATGCTATCTATGTATATTCCAATCAGAAAATTTCAACTGAAATGCTATATGAGCTATTTCTACCGTTTCAAGTCTTTAATTTGCCGTGCTCGTTCGTTTAACTTCCTTAACATGAGCTCGATTATTTGTTTTTCCTCTTTTCCTTTTGGCTTTTCGTTTTATTCACACCGACACTTGGCACCCGCATATCGTGTCAGCCGGGTGAAACTTCCGCGATGAGCCAAAATAGAAATAGCTGCCACAACAAAGGCAAAAGCGCTTCACGCAGAGCCGATGTTGTTGACGAAGTGTCTCGTCAAAATAGAAGAGACTCAAATGGGGAGGAAAAAAAGAAGACAGCATAAGGAAGAACGGTAGAGTTTTCAGCTTTTTGGCCTGGCTCTCCTAGTTGCCAAGCCAACTTTTTCTTCATACGGTTTTGTTTTTGTTTCTGTTGTTTTGGCTATGGAGAAATCAATGCGCGCGCAGCACGTGGCTGGCAAGGACAACAATAAAGGCGAATTGCTCTCGCAGTCCAGTTTTTGGCTCCGTCTGGTCTGAGCTCCGTCAGCCGTCAGTGTCCTGTCTCGTCCTCGCACATTGCCATTTGCCTCGCTGCTCGCTGTCACGAGCAACACAATTGAAAAGCAATTAAAAAAGGTGCCACTGCCGAGTTTATGGATATCAATTGACACACCATAAAAGGAGCAAGGACACGAGTGCCTAACAACTGGAACAACAACAGCCAGCTATCAGCCAGTCTATCGAATATGGTCGGAACTGGCGGCGCCTGGCTATAAACGTCTCGTCTCGTCGAGCCTCGACTCACCTCGCCACGGGTCGCCTCGCCGTGAGTCGCCTCGAGCTGTGTCGCATTGTGATTGCCAAGGCTGCTGCAAGGCAGGCAACGTGGAGTCATCACTGCCAGCCGAGTCCGAGTCCGAATCAGAGTCAGAGTCTGAGACAGAGACAGAGACAGAGACAGCGTCAGAGTCGGCGTCCGGGTTGCCACTGCCATTGCCCTTGCAGCTGCAGCGACGGCTCACGTACTGCTGCTCGCTGTCCCGTTACAGTGGCGCCGCCTTGCAACTAGTGCAGAATCTCAAGTGAGTTTGTGTGTGTGTGTGTGTGTGTTTTGGCAACCTGCTGTGGCTGTGGCTGTGGCTGTGTCACTGAGCCGATAGTCAATGTCAGGTCACACAGATTTGGACTGTTGCTGCAACTACTTGTGGCCCACTTGTGCCACGAATCGAAAACAAATATCACATAAATCACAAATCAATTAATGCCCCCTACAATTGTCGCGCGCAGGCAAAACAAATTGCGAATGGCGAATGGCTAATTGACACTTGAATAATGAACCGAACGACAAATTAGCAATGCATTTCGCAATTGCAATTCCCATTCCCATTCGATTTCCAATTCCAATTCAAATTGCTGTTCCAATTAGCATAGTGGCCAGAGATTAACCCATGATTCTACATTGCAGAAAAGTCGTACAGGGTGTCGGCGATATCATCGTACAATTGGACGTGTTCGTGGAGCAACAGGAATGCGACGAGGCCCAGAGCCTGCAGGCGCCCGATGGCATCAATCTCAACTCGCATCTTGATGTCTTCTATGCGATACTGCGACAGGTGAGTTCCAGCTTTAATTAATTTAGACAGACACACACACACACTCCCTCTCCCTCTCTCTCTCACTCTCATTCTGTCTCTCATTCAACTCTGCGCTGTCACATGCCTCGTATACTTATTATTCATATGCATTTGCTTAGGCACGGGCATGAGCATGGGCATTAAGTATACGCAGCGTATGCCCGAGTTGCAGTTGAACTAAGTGAGAGTGCATTGTCAAGGTGCTCATTGCACGCGAATCGAGGATAAATGTCAACTGTCATACGGAAGAGAGCTTATTTTATACTATAATCCAGTGACTTTAAAGTCTGTGTGTGTGTGTGTGGTGGCGCCATCTAGCGATAGGGCAGGGCAACTACAGTGCATTTCAACCGGAAATAGAATTTGAATAATTATAAAAGTCACAAGCAAAGAAGAAAATAACTTCTTAGAAATTCTCAAGTTCAGCTGAGCAATAGATTTATAATAAATTATGTATATTAATTCCACCTCCTTCTACTAAGCTAAACCCTAATTCTAAATGCCTCTTCCTACTGCCAGGTGGCCGATAAGCCGCAGGAGGGGCCATTTCTCAATATATTGCAGCATCTGCTGCGCATCGATTCGAAGGATCCGCTGAGCGATGTCATTTGGGATACGACTGAGCGGCTGGTGCATCGCGCCACACTTCTCGAGGATCCCGCTGATGCAGTGCGTCTGCTGCGCCATCAAAATTCACAAAAATTCACCTGCGCCAACTGTCGCTCGAGCGATGCCAGCAGCCCGACAAGGAAGCCATCACAGCCACATGTGGCCGTGGCCGCGGCTAAGCCACCAGCAGCACCACCTGCACCAGCCGCACCAGCTCCGCCGCCGCCGCCGCCACCCGCAATATTTACAGTTAACGGAGCCGCACCTCCGCCGCCGCCGCTGCCCGCGCCGAACGGCAATGCGGGGCTGCCGCCGCCGCCGCCACCGCCATCGTTGCGTCCGACTACACCGCTGCCGGAGCGAGCGGCAGTGTCGCTGCTGCCACAGCAGGTTACGCCCGAGTCCAAGTACAAACTGAGATCCATCAACTGGAACAAGATACCGGACAACAAGGTGCTGGGCAGGGAGAACATCTGGAGCAAAATGGCCAACATGCACCGGGACAACAATCAAATGGAAATCGACTTCAGCGAGATGGAGGGTCTCTTCTGCCAGCAGCCCACCAGCGGCGAGGGCTCACCTATTCCGACCAGGAACAAGAACGGCAAGCCATCCAGCGCGAATGGCAAGGACACGCTGGATCGCAAGGGCAAGAAGGAGAGCACTGAGATCACTCTGCTGGATGGCAAGCGCAGCCTGAACGTCAACATCTTTCTGCGGCAGTTCCGCAGCAACAGTCAGGACATTATCCAGCTGATACGACACGGCGCACACGAGGAGATTGGCGCCGAGCGGCTGTTGGGCTTGCTCAAGATACTGCCCGAAATGGACGAGCTGGAAGTGCTGAAGAGCTTCAATGGAGATCGCGCGCGTCTGGGCAGTGCCGAGAAGTTTCTGCTCCAGCTGCTCGAGGTGCCCAAGTGAGTGGCTAATCCAGCTATAGTGGAACCTTCAACGATATTAAATGCCTTTTCTCTCCTTCTCTCCTCAACAGCTATAAGCTGCGCATTGAGAGCATGTTGCTCAAGGAAGAGTTTGCCACGAATATGGCCTATTTGGAGCCCTGCATCAATGCCATGCTCTTCGCTGGCGACAATCTGCTCAACAACAAATTGCTGCAGGAGGTGCTCTACATGGTCGTCGTTGCTGGCAACTTCCTCAACGCCGGCGGCTATGCGGGCAAGGCGGCCGGGGTGAAGCTATCGTCGCTGCAGAAGCTAACCGATATCCGAGCCAACAAGCCGGGCATGAATCTTATACACTTTGTGGCCATCCAAGCAGAACGCTGCAATCCCGAGCTGCTGCAGTTCACCACACAGCTGAGCAATCTCGAGGATGCCAGCAAGTAAGTGAACCAACCACACAATCCTTTATGTGAGACATATTTAAGCCCTGGTACCTCTTAAACTGCTTACAGAACCACAACGGAGCAAATTAACAGTGAGATTACCACGCTGGAAAACCGCATCAGGAAGATCACCAAACAGATTGAGCTGCCCACAACGGATGACGACATCAAGCAACAGATGTCGGAGTTTTTGCTGGCCGCGGAGTCTGAGGTGGCAGTGCTGCAGGCCGGCATGAAGCAGGTGGAATCATTGCGCCTCAAATTGGCCGAGTTCTTCTGCGAGGATGCGGCTACGTTTAAGCTGGAGGAGTGCTTCAAAATCTTTCAGAGCTTCTGTGATAAATTCAGGCAGGCAATCAAGGAGAACGAGCGGCGTGTGCAGCAGGAGAAGCTGGCGGAGGAGCGCAACAGGATTCGAGCGGAACAGTTGGCCAGAAGGACCAAGCAAAGTATGCTGCCATTACTCGTATTATTTGCATTACTTATAGCAATTGTGTCTTCCTTTGCAGTGGGTCAAGCGGGCACGCCCGTCTCCGACTCGGACTCGTTTCTGGGCGATGGGCTGTTCGATCCGCGCGCCAGCCCAGCGCTGAGCAGGCGCCAACTGGGCTCGGGTGAGCTGAACAACGGCTTCATACGGCTCGAGCAGGAGTACAGCGCCTCGCCCGACATCACGCCCAATGGCAGCCTACGGCGTCGTCCCAGTCGCGTGCTGGCCGGTGAGGAAGACCTCATGGAGTATCTGCGTAGCTCAGGCCCGCACGGCCACGACGGCCTCGGTCATATCAGCCGCGATCGCAAGGCAGCCTACGGCAGTCTAGGTAGGTCTCCCTTCTCTCTATATGTATGTGCTTCTATTTTATATATTGGCTCACTCTATTTATCCAACAGATCGATCCTGGGCACGCCGTGCACGCTCTGGCAGCTCGAGTCGCAAGCGTCCGGATATACTCAACATTGACTTTGGTGTTGATCGGGAGCGCGCCAGCTCCCCAGCTCCACTGCTGCAGCAGCAACAACAACAGCAGCAGGACCGCATTCAATCGCCTTTAGCCAGCAGTGGCACGGGCACGCCCACAACGGCAGCCAATACGCCCATCAGCAACGGCCCCACGATACCGCAAATGCCCGCAGCGCACGAGGATGCAAAACCGAGGTAACAATTTATACTATTTACCATAAACATATATAAATAAATAGCTAAATAATAAAAATATTTCATATTATTCAAATTCTTCAACAGAATATCCCGTGAATGGCGACAGAAGATCGAAACTTGGCTGCAGTCGAACGAAAACGATGAGAAACAGAACGAGGAATACAAGCGGAAGCGTCGCCTGGTTAATGCGAATCGGCGATCGCTCGAGAACGAAACTGGTAAGCGATATCAACTCAAGTCCAAACATAAACTAAAACTTCATATTCCATAATGCATAGAAAACGAACGAAAACTGGATCCATTGCCAGAGGAAAAGATAATGCCAACAACAGCAACAACGACGCCAACGACGACGGCGTCAACGCCAACGACGACGATCACTAACCCAACTAACAACCACAGCCACAGCAGCAGCTACAGCCGACGAGAGCCGGAGCAGGAGAAGCAGGAGAAGGAGAAGCCGCAGCCCGCGCGCTATCAACGCGTCTATGCAGACTGGAAGCCAAGCCAAACACTGGACCACACTGACGTGGTGGGTAACATTGAGGCCATAGCGGATGCGACGACAACAGCGCAAGGCGCTCAACCACATCTAACCACGGCCGAGGAACTGCGTCAGTATCGGCGGCAGCGCTCGCAGGAGCAGGCGCAGAGTTCCAGCCCTCTGCAGTCGATTGCCGAGGAGGATCGCCGCAAGTCCCTTATACAAAAGCTGGGCGACAGCGATAGCACTGCAGATTGCCTGAAAATCTATGTGCGGCGTCCGTCCAGCATGGACCTGCAACCGGAGCCGGTGAAGCGTGCGGAACCCAAGTCGCCCACGCAGGATGACACCTTTGCTAGTCTGCTGGATCATCACAAGAGTCACAATGAGTCGCAGTATGCGACCGCCTCCTCCAAAGAAATCGATGCGGACAACATTGAGACGCCGCCAGTGACACGACGTGTCCTGGCCACGCCCACCAGCACAGTGGTCACGGTCAGCATGACGGATAAGCCAAAGCATATGCCGGAGGAGAAGAGCAGCGCCAGCCCAACAGTCAATGAGCAGGATGCGCCAGGTCACTTTGACCGCTATGCTCTGGCGAGGCGGACGCGTCGCTACAAACGACCCACGGACTACAGCAGCGGCAATGAGGAGCTCATTATGCCCACGCAAGATATCAAGCAATCGGCCAGCGCTAGTGAAGTGCGTCGTTTGCCAACGGAGGAGCCGCAGCCGGAGAAGGCGCGCACCATAACCAAACTGGAGAAGGTGGGTCGGCACATCAGCTCCATCAACCAGGAGGATGTGCGAGAAGCCATACGCAATCTGAAATCTCCAACGGGCACACCAGAGCGACCTTGGAGTCCGCCACGAGAGTTGACGCCAAGCAAGCTGAAACTTAATGCCAGCGGGCACCACGAGCTGAACGACGAGGGCTTCGAAGAGACGCAGAGCTTGGTCTCGGACACACCCTCGCATGGCAAGGGCGAGAGCACCAACTCTTCCTGCAACGAGGCTAATGATGCGCCCGCCCAACGTTCGCGTCCGCTGTCCAAGCAAAAAACCAGCACCACCAGCATCAGTGCAATGGGCAGTCGCCTGGCGGACCGACTGCAGCAGGCGAGACGGCTCGGCAGCTCCACGAATACATCACAGTCCCAATCCGGCAACAAGTCACAAAACCAAATCTCAGCCGCGGCAACGGTCACAGCTGCTCTTCCCAAACGTAGCCTCTCGGCCAGCCGGCCACTGCGTATGCCCAATGGCAGTCACATGCCGAGTGCCACGCCCACTGCGTTACGTTCGTCCTCATCGACGGGCGTAAGGCGGAGTCCACACGAGCCTCCACAGTTCACGCCCAACTATGCGAAACAGCGCGATGTGGAGCGAAGTAGCTCCCGCAACAGTTTACGCTCCTCGCGATCCTCCATCAATAGCGGTGCATCCACACAGACTGTGGTGCGACGTCTGCCCTCAGTGCAGCGCACCGCCACCGTCTCGGTGGACTCATCGCCCAGCAAACGTCCGCTGGCGGCACAGAATGCGCGACCCACAGCCAGTGGGCGTGGCGTGCCCGCCAGTCGCAGCAGCAGCAGTGGCTCCAGTGTGGGTCCCAGTGTGATACTTGTGCGGAGCAAGCTGTCGGCCGGTCCACGAACTGCCCAGGCTCAGCCGTTGGGCAACAGCACTAGCTTCAAGGAGAACCAAACTGCAGCGCCAGCCACAGCACCCGCCTCTCGATTGACAGCCGCGCGCAGCGCAATGCTGGTGAAGAATGTGATGAATCAGCAGGCCAAGAGCAACAGCAGCACGAGTAATTCTCAGCAGCCACGCAACCGATCAGTGAGCAGCTTTATGCGGCCCACGGCCAGCAGCGCAACCAAGCGCCAGAAATAAGCAATTTTATGCAGGAAGAGTGAGGAGTAGGAATAGGAGGCATCGTCCAAGTTAACGTCCCAAGTTTACAAACTCAGAACAAAGACAAGTTACAAAATGCATCTAATCTAAGCCGTCCAAGCAAACGACATCAAAAACAAAAGAGAAACACACAAGTAAAATATTTCGAATTTCTAGGCAGGATTTTGCACAAACTACTCCATATAATTGTTAACGTAGCACAACAATCCGAACCCCTAGCTCCCAGAGTTATTTATGAGCAGTTGTTATACACCAAGTAGTATCTAGTTTAGAGTGGGTCCAGCAGAGGGTCCGATGATGATAATGTGGATCATTTTCAGCACATTCCAAAGGTAAACAGAAACAGGTGCGTCGTGAGCTCCGTCACAAAATGTGTTTCAATGCGAAAGTTTTCTTTTTGCACACTTTTCATCGTTTCCATGGACCTCTTACATTGTAATTTTTAAGAAAGACAGACGATTGTTGAAATCCTTAAATATATATCTGTATTTGAGCACAAAAAAAAAAAAAAAAATTGAAGTAATATACTAGTTAGTAAAACTACTCGACTCTAACTTAGAATTACAAGTTAAAATTCTCTATTCCATATTAACATTAACAGTTAGTTTTAGACACTATTCGATTATACATGTGTAGAAAAGTTCTTTTTATAGAAGCGCGTTTATTACAAATGTGTAGTGAAAAGTAAACAAACAAAAAAGACAACTGAAATCATAATTGATTTAGGTATTGATATTCATACTGATGAACAAATGACAATTAAATTCTTTAAAGACAAAACAAATAAAATAAAAACAAGCTTTAAATGCATAATAAATAAAATACAATATTTAAATAATTATGTCAATGCCGTGCCTTACATTTTAATTGTGAACTAAACAAACTAGAAACTTTTCTAATATTGCTTGGCGGGATATTTCTCTAGGCCATTATTTACAATAATTCTGCTTATCAAACCATTCCTTATGGTTCTCCAAGTAACTGAAATAAATTAGAAACTGTATTATTAATTGTTAACAAAGCTGTCATACAAATCTTCATTACTTGATTAAGGAGTTGAGATGTGGTATCAGAATCTCTAGTTTCTCATTCGATATGGGCGACTCATTGAGCCATGCGGGCAATAAAACTGCAGTGGGAAAATAATCATTAAATTAGGAAAGCCAATAATTCAAATCAGCTCTACCACTCACCCAGCATTCGCGCTAAATGTGGCGCTCCAAATATCATAGATTTCTCAGATCTATCTAAATATAGTGTGTCTGTCTTAGCCAACAGACTCCAGTTAAACGTCTCACAGAGGAAGCCACGCATTTCCATTGGCAGTTTGTAGGCAGCAGTATAGGGGGAGGTTCGCTGATCATAGGCATGAGCCATATTATTCTTTCCACTACATTTCACAATGTATAGAAGACACTTTTGTAGCTGCTTTTCGTACTCAATGCCACCTAAAATGGTGCCATCGGCTCCATTTGTGCCATTCATACTGCCATCCATTGAGATGATTTCATTGTCCATGCTGGGATTTACATATTCCTTGGCTTGGGCTGCGAGTTTGTTTGAATACATTGATATGTCGTCGTGAAGTTTGCTAAGAACATGGTCCCTTTCCTCTTTGTACAGCAGGTGATCTTCTAGATGAAATTCAAAGTAGATCCGCAGGCCATCCACGACTTCCTTGAGCATACAGACACTGGAGAATTTTGTTAAGGAGTTCAATGAGTGCTGATTAAATAATACAAAATGGAGAACGACTCACAATTGGAATCAGACAATCGACTGGGATTCTCTCTAGTTGGGAGTTGAATCAAGCCAAACCTAATACTTACTTGGACATTACCCGATCGTACTCACGCTCCATGCGCGCATTACGACTCTGCGTGTTGCGTGCCCTCGAACTGTCTTGCTTGATTCCAATGGCCAGTTCGACGGCTCGCTGCTTTACAAAGTTCTCCAAGATGGTGATGATGGGCATGCGGGCGGGTAGCTCATGCTCCTTCCCAAGCTTGCAAACCATATTATAGTCGTATTCCATATACTCGCGCAGCCTTTCGCTGATGCGCAGCATCACACGATCCTCTGGATGGACACGTTTCTCTGCATCAGTTGTATGCGTATCTTTAGGTGAGACATGCAAACTAAACTGAGACTTAGCAGACTTTCGCTCACCATCCGTTTTGCCGGATTTGCGTACGTCTTTCATGGTCACATCAGCACCACCTCCTGCAGTACCAGATTTGTCGTGCTGGCCTTTGCGACCGCTACTGTTGTCCCGTGAACGATTACCGCTACCATCCCGCATGCGGGCGCCACCTTTCTGCTGTGCCGGCAGTTCGTGCTGTGGAGTCGACGGCTGAGATGCCAGCGTTGTGTTCAAGGTTTCTGATGTCTGATCTTCAGCGTTTACACCTCTGGTCAAACGCTTCTTCTTGCTGGGTGGCAAAGTCGGAGTCTTGGTGTCTTTGTATGAATAGCCACCAATTCTACAAATTGTAAACAAACAGTTATTCACACATACACACGCACATGCGCACGTATCACTCACTTTTGTAACTGTGCGGCTTCTGCCAGCTCACGTTGAAGCTTACGATTTTCTTCGTTGTCTTTTAGCAAAATGTCGGCGCGCACATTTCGATCCCAGGATGAGTTCCAGCCTTGAAAATGGATTTTGTAGTCAAAGTACCGTTTATTATCGGCGTCCTTGCGTTCGTACACAGCTAAAACCTAAAGAATAAACAATTTTTTCGGTGTGAAAAATCGAAGCAAACACCTCGCGTTCTCGCATTTGTGTTTGACGTTTGGTAACGTTGTTGGTGTATGCGTGAGCGTATGTGTGCGTGTGTGTGAGTTGTGTGGGTTGTGTTCATGGGTTACCTTACTATCGTACAAGACCCTAGCATTCGATTTGTCGGGCTCGAAACACAGGACTTTCTCACCCTTGTTGAAAAGCTGGACCTCGTCTTCTCGCGTCGTCATCACTTTTGAATAAATGACATCAACTATTAAGTTATGGCAAAATATTATTATTTACTGTTTGCATTCAATCGCGTCGCTCGCGTTATTGCCCCTTTCTGCCAATCACACAAAATACGCTTCAACCAGGGCTGCAAAACTCTTTGTAGTGAACTAGCAAACTCCTAGCTCTTTTTGTTCACATCAATCACTTGCTGCACTTAGAAAAATAACCGATGTGATGATACTTAAATTTTTAGTACATGCAAGATGAAATCATTTTGAAATTTATTGCACAATGTTAAAAAAACGGATTAGATGAGATTTTCTGCCAATTTCTATTGTTTCTTAACAAATGAACATTTTTCGATTACACTTGTATGTGTTCGTTGTTACTGGCATTTGCCGATATTTTTTCATAATCGATAAGCAGCATTGGCGCAATTTAAAAACAAACCGTTGCTATGGAGGAAAAACCAAAACAAATCATTATACTCTAGTTTTTCCAACGTCTTGTTTTTATTAACGTGTTATTTTTAAAATAGAGAAAAAATAGGTTTTATATAATGGCAACATCTTCGGCATCGAATTGGCTGCATGTGGACATCGAGGAAGACACCCCCAAACTCAGTTCGACTTTATCCAGTTGCATGACACTCAGTGACGTGCAATGCGATGGTTACGTGCGGCTTCTAGTAGCTGACATTTCTCTAGAAGATGACGAGGAGCCCAGTGCGAAGCTGAAAGTGTTTCGTGGATTAACACTAAAGCATGAGCAGCCGCTACCTGGCATACCAACTGCAATTGAAAGTCTCTATACAGATGAAACAGAACCTAAAACGCCGGGTGAGCATTTTAGGCTTTAGCAGTTCATATAAACTTTATATAACTATTCATTTTTTTATTAAACAGTCATTGCTGTGGCCATTGCTGATTCCGTGTTGTTCTATAGGCATTTAAAGCCCTTCTTTAAATACACAATACCAGCCACGGATGCAGATGAATTGGAGTTGGAGGTGTGGCGCAAATTACCTGTGATGAAACCGGAGACTCATGAAGGGCTGCTACAGTTGCTCAAGGATGTGGACCATGCCAAACTGTCGCGAAAAACGCAACGACTGCTGCAATTAACGGAGGAAGAGCGTGCTGTAAGAGAAATGTTTCCAAATTAAATAATATTAAAGCAACTTAACTTCTCTCTAGGAATTTATCAGCACTCACAAGGATTCGGTTGTGGGTCGAACCGGTAATATTGTGGCCATGTGTTGTGTGAAGCGAGTTTCCAGCAACATGAGTCCCCCTTCACATTTGGTTCTGGGCACAGACACGGGCTACGTATATGTGCTGGAGCCGCAGGGCTTCAATTTAATATATCAATCAACTATTTGCAACTATGAGACAGCTGTGCCAAGTCTTATTTCGGTACATGGCACCTACGAGGCAGACTTCTCTATTGTGGTAGGCACGCGGAATGGCGGAGTTTACCTGCTGCGCAAGTCCAGCACCGAGGGTCAGGAGATTTTCAAGCTATCCACCCCATTGACTGGCCTGCTCCTACTGCCCATTGATCAGACAATCGTTATAACCACCATGGAGCATCGCTATATGTGCTGTTCGAAACGAGGCAAACAGCTTTATCAGCTGCATTTGGAATCGGCGCCGGTCTGCATTTTGCCCCTACCGCTAACCCACCTGGGCGTCACCCTGGTAGCCGTCGCCCTTCAAGGTGGAAAGGTGGCCTTCTATTTGAATCGCTATATGGTGGATGAATTCGTGGTCCCAGAGACTGTGGCGGGCATGCTATATGGACGTATGGGAATGGAGGATCATGTGCTCACACTGATCACGGAAAGTGGCGAAATAATCATAAAGATATTGCGACGCATAACACGATTTGAGCCGGACACGTCCACAGCCGCACTAACAAAAAAAGGGTTGGCGGTGCCGCGAAAGATTGGAGATGCCACCATACTGGACAAGTCAAAGAAGAGTTCCATATTCGTAGAGCAAGCGGCGCGAGAGAAACAACAGGCCAAATGTAAGTTGCGTGGATATTTGAGCAAACTATTTATAATTTCTGCCTTAATGCAGCTAGCTACGGCAGCTTTCAGATGGAGCTGTGGCGACTGCGCCACACAGCTGCGCGTGCCACAATAGATGCTATTAACTCCTCAGAGAGCACCATTTCAGGTGATCTAACGCATGCACCCGTAAAAGTAGCCGCCGAGGTGTGCGGAAGTGGACCCGCTTTTCGACTCTACCTCACCGTGCAGAATCTGTCCACGTATAAGATGGCCTCAAATCTTGCTATACTTCTGCATGCGGATCGACGTCATTATACAATACAACAGTCCGTGGCCAGGCTGCCCAGCGTTCTGCCTGGCATACCACTGCGCGTAGACTTTGAGGTGATGGCTGTGCTGGATGCAATGGACAAGCTGCCACCAGCGACTTTGACGCCCGACAATTCTCAGATTCGTGTTATGCTGATGAAGGCGGGTCAGTCGAAGCCACTTATAGCTGCCGTCGTGGCCATGCCACAATCGGAAGCAGCATTCTAAATGTTGTTCTATAATTAAGTCAATTGCAATTTGTTATTTCGGGTAAGTTACTAAATTTATTTGCCTATCAAATAAGAATTGTTGCTAATGCCCTTCATCATTCAGGCATATTTGGGCGCATACTTCTCGTAGACCTTGCTCCTTAAATCGAATAATCCGGGCTTATCGATGTTGACATCTCCAATGGTGGCCTGCTTGAAGAGTCCATATAACTCCAAGAACTCTGTCTGTGGGCTGCTTAGAGAACTGCTTGGAGAGTGGAAGTGTGGAATGTTGCTTAACTTAAACGATATAGACTTACAATAATCTGGTCTAGCAATGTCATTGAATTACTTTGAATTTAGCGGAAATCTGCTTAGTATAGGCTATTTCCTGTTGGGTTTTATATTAATTAATATTGTGGAAAAGTACGATAGGTGGGCGCCGTTAGTGTTTGTCCGATCTAAGATAAGTCTGGGCATGAATCATTCAAACTTAAATCAAAATTACTTGGCTGTGAACTGTGCGCCATAGCCAGCATTAATTAGGTAGTCAAGTTTATCTTCAGTTGCTGACAGTATTGACTTGTTTTATATATGTACAAATATGTGATAAAACATATTCGATGAACACTCATAAAATATTCATGCTAATCTTATCACTCCAGTGCATAAGGTGACTCCATGTATATCTCTATACTTAGCGCTATGATTGCGATTATTCGTATATGTATTGTCAATATTATTTCGGGCAAACTGCAAGTGCAAATTCGTACGAGTTCTATTCATTATTGACTCAGCGTGACCCAATCAGCATAGGCAATCAAACAATATGATGTATGTGCCTGAGTGTGTCTATTTTTTTAGGTAGCAGGGGACGGGAGTCAGTCTCCTGTTTTGATAAGATTAACCAACTACAAAAATTGGCTTTTAGGTTTCGGGCTATCGTATATATAACTACGAGTTGGGACAAGCAACCACAATTTGTTTTCGTTAACCCGACACAACAGACAGACAAGCAAACAGCCAACATGGTGAACGTAAGTTAAAATATAAATAATACGAGTAAATCAGGAGGATAACTCTTTCCTACTTTGCGCTGCAGTTTGAGGAAATCGTCGAGAAGGCAAAGAACTTCAGCAAGACTTTAACCAAGGAGGATTTCCTGGAATTCTATGGCTACTACAAGCAGGCCACAGTTGGCGATTGCAACATTGAGGAGCCAGAGGATGAGGAGCAGAAGGCTCGCTACAACGCCTGGAAGAGCAAGGCTGGTCTGACTCTGGAGGACGCCAAAGCCCACTACATCGAGGTGTACAAGAAGTATGCCGCCAAATACGAGTAGAAAGTGCATTTAAAGAACCCTGCAATAGCTCGCAAATTTATATTTTATTTATGCCACTAATGTCCTTGTTAATCAAATGTATTTATACTATTTTTATATAAACGCTAATAAACCCGTAAGCATTTAAAAAGAAATTTTGTTGTTTAATTACTGTTAAATTATTTTCGGCAAAATTTGAAACATGTTCAAATCATTAAATTTTAATGTTTATGGACTTGAGCATATTTTCTTTTTAAATATATGTGTGTAATAATCATAAATACACATAAAATGATGAATTTGTTTAGGATGTCACGTCATGATAGCAGTTTGCTATCTAATTCCAACAATCAACGAAAAAACAGACAAGCAACATTAATCATTTCAAGAACGTACTTCCGCTACAGATACTGATGTAGAAATTTGAGTAAATTAAAATTAAGCTCAAAGAAGATATAGAATATGTTTAATTGAATATATATATACATATATATATTTTGAATATACAGTATTAAAATAATGATTCGTATAAATTAGCTTCACTTAAACCCAATTAATAAATTCGAGTGCCTAAAAGTATGCTACATTTAAAAATACGAATTTGCATATAGGAACCGACTGTAAGAGCTTGCCTTCATAGCGAAAAGCTTTTCCAGTTTTCAAATAAAAATACGATACCCTATACTAATCCGGTTTTCATAGATTGTTACCTTTAAGCCGAAGAGCATTCCATCTAATATTGTTTACGTTTCTTTTGTAATGCAAGGTTTTGCTGAAAGTTTGTTTCTATATAAATAATAAATGAATGCATTTATTGAGATTATTACATATGTATGTACATATGTATAAACATATACACTAAACAGAATTATAATTTACAATTTAATAATTAATCAATCAAAAATGACCAACTTCCAATCAAGTTTTCTAGAACTATACGGACTGTACAGGGCAGATAATCAACCAAAGTATGTGGAATTGCAATTTGTCCAATTCATAATTACATACGTGTCCAAATGAATAAGCAGAGCAATTAAATTGTATATATGCCGAGTAATCTTCAGGTGTTTAGAACTGATTAGAAGTAATACTGAAAAGTCGTGACTCCACTGGAAAATTTATATAATATTTTATATATTTTTAGCTGCAGTTGCGATTAGATGCGGACCGCACTTCGCACCCAGCTGATGATATGATTAAAACGACATCCACATCCGAAAATCTTAATCCAGTGCAGCTCAAAGCTACGCTAGCCGAGCGAAACTTTCAACAGCTCGCCTATTGCCCATTCAGAATGTATTGCCATGAGGCGAAATAGTGGACGCTCTCAGTTTCACGATTTGTCGAGAGCTTTGGCACGATGTCGCCGACGATCGTGAGCAGCGCGGAATCATTTAAATTGAAAGTCAAATCGAGATTCGGATTCAGACAGTGCCGAGTTCTGAGACCGCCCAGACAGCAAAAGCCAGCGTAAGTGCGTGAGCCCAACATTCAAAACTCGACGTGTGCCTGAACACGTTATCAAAATACATATATTACAAGAAACAACAATTTACACATGTGGCAATCAACAATCAGAAAAAGCTCATGGCCAGATAGCGGCAAAGTGATTATATTGGCCGATGAGCAATAATATATGATTCGCACGTACTCGATCCACGCCCAAATTCCATTTCTGGCGGGATTCTATGACACCAAAAATTTGCAATTACTGTGCTGCTGCTGTCGCTGCTGTCGCTGCTGCTGCTGCTGATGTGTCCGTTAGATACATTTGTATCTCTTTTAGCTACCGCAATAATTTTCATAAATGAATTTCTATTTTTATTACGCTGCTGCCTGCGTCGGCTGCGTGGTGAAAGTTATGTCTCTCCTAAGTGCTGCTGTTCTCAAAAACATGCGATAGATGCCAAAGTTCATCTCCCCAGACAATTTGGCGGTGGTCTTTTATTGTGAGGCCCTTCAATTAATGATGATCAGCGAACTGGTTTTGTCATGTCATCAACCAGAGCAACAGTAGTGGCAGCAACAACAACAACAACAACAATAACAACAGCAGCAGCAGCAGCAGCCGTATTCGTCGCCGTCGCCGTAGCTCCCCATCAAGTTCATTGTCACATTTATAATTTATGTTGCGTCATAATATATTAAACATGCTTAATTTGTTACTTGCAGATTACAATCTAAATCGAAATGTCCCTCACTGAGGTAAGTGGCAGGAAATAATTTATGGTGATGTTGTATGTTATTTATCTTATCGCAGTTGTTCTGCGATAAGTCCATGGCTTATCAACATGCTGGGGTAATCGTATAATAACTGTTAACTCTTTTGCAGCAATTCAATGCAGCCGCCGAGAAGGTGAAGACGCTGACCAAGCGTCCCAGCGACGATGAGTTCCTCGAACTGTATGCCCTCTTCAAGCAGGCCACCGTTGGCGACAATGAGACCAGCAAGCCCGGCCTCCTGGACCTGAAGGGCAAGGCCAAGTGGGAGGCCTGGAGCAAGCAGAAGGGCAAGTCCACTGAGACGGCACAGAAGGAGTACATTGCCTTCGTCGAGGGTCTGGTGGCCAAGTATGCCTAAGCTCTAGTCCAGAGCCAAACTAAATTGATTTTACACAACGACCAGAGAGACTAAATCTATTTATACACAAATTGTAGATAATACGGAACAAGATCTTCTTAATGCCTAATAAAACTTGATTACTAACTTTTGTACACACAACGAAACGACTTGCCCTGCCCATTGCCCAAAGTGCAATACACTCTGTTGGCTTAGTACGCTGGGCCGTTGGTTATTTGCAAGGCAAATAAACAAATTCAAATGTCGGCCGGGCAATGAGTCCGAGCTGCGAATACGAATGCGAATGCGAATACGAATACGAATCAGAATACGTATTTTTTAGCTAATAATGCAATTCGTTCTTTGCACGCTCGACTTCCCATTAGCGCCTAACTGTTAATAGGCTCGCCGAAAATTAAGGTGTATTCGTTGTTGTGCGAACGACCTTGACGCTTTAGTTACTGCAGAGTGCAGCGAGCAAAGTTGCAAAGGTGCAAAGGTGCAAAGCTGAAGCAAATAATGGATTTACTCTGTTTCCATTTCCTAAATATTGAAGTGTTTACAGAGTTACGGCGCTACGTTATGCAGAGAACACATGCAACGACGAGAGAAAAGCTAAATATTAGTAAAACGTATTAGTGTAACTTCCGGGGTGGGAGAAAATGTAATTCTAGTGCAGGCAAAAATTAAATAATAAATAAAAAAATTTAAGAAAATATTTAAATTTTAATAACTATGAAAGGCAGGCAAAAATTAAATAATAAATAAATAAATTTAAGAAAATATTTAAATTTTAATAACTATGAAATAAACATAATAACACTTTAAGCAAACAACTATATTTATTTGCTAAAACTAAAATAATTAAATAATTTTATTAAATTAATTAAGGTAGCGCAGGGCTTGCCTATGCTAAATAGAGATACATACATGTATATGTATGTATATATGTATATGTATATTTAACCATTGGACTGTGGGCCAGAAAGCTTTGAAAGCTTGGCCAAAAGTCCAAGTGAATATAATAAAATGTTTTACAAATCAAATCGAACATTAAATTAAACCAGATAAACTTTTAAAATATTTTATTTATATTTGTTTAGTAAAATGGTATGCCTGTATTCAACATAATATTTACTATATTTTTTTATTTTTATATATATATTTATATATTCATATATATTTATATTTACATAAAAGAAAATCTAATAAAATTAATATTGGAATATTTTTAGATTATTTATACTGCTTGCAAATATTTAAAAAAAAATTAAAGTAAATGTGTGGGCAGCTATACTAAGTGTATATGCATCTCACTTAAATATTCGCACCATACGAAAGTTGCTAAACTTACCTTTTCAATTAGCAAATCGCAATTAAAATATTTTTTTCTATTTTTGCACAACTTTCCAAACATCTGTCGTGCGGCGCAGCAACTCTGTCGAAAAGTCGTTAGGAATTCAAAAAGAAAATGACCGATAGCAAGAGCTGTAATTGCTGCTGGCAACATGCTGCTGCTTGTGCCGGCTGCTCAACAGGTGAGCACAGGTGAGAGTCAGACAGCAGAACGCGAGCAAAACAACAACAACAACAATGCGGGCTGCGCTTTTTGTTTATGAATGAAAAGCGCATAAGTAAACCGTGATAAATGTGTGGGCACGAGCGAAACCAGCGCAGAGATCGCTAGCCACAAGAGCGCGAGAGTGGAAGGAGGGCAACCAGCGAGAGAGAGAGAGCGCGCGGAAGGAAAGAGAGTGTGTGCATGCGAGAGAGAGAGAGAGAGAGAGAAGTGGCTCGTTCGGCAGCTATGGGCAACTGGCAACTGGTGCTGGCTGTTCAGTCTACGTTTTGGCCTAAACGCGTTTGCTTGGACTTGGCCAGCGCGCATGAGCCGTCGGTTAGTCTGCAGTGTTTACCCTCTCTCTATCTCTCTCTCTCTCTCTCTTTCTCTGCAATTGTGTGCGTCTGTGTGCATGCGTGTGCGTGTGTGTCGGCGTCGGTGTGTGTGTTAACAAAATGTGATTAGCAAAAATACAAAAGAAGAAAAGAAGGCAACGCGATATAAAGCATTGTGGCAAAAAAGAACGGAAAGCGCAAAAACTGTGTTAAAAATAACAAAAGATATCAACGAAAACAAAACAATTTTTGCTTAAGTTTTTTATATTTTAAATTATAGTTGCTTTGCATAAATAAGTAGACAAATTAAATATATAAAATGTATGTATGCCGCACAAATATACATACATATATTGTTAACAGCAATGCTGAATTTTGTGCTTTATCGGCAGCTCCAGCAGCAGCAGCAGCAGCAACAATAAAATTCATATTGAACTACACCCAAAAGCCAACAACAACAACAACAACAATAACGGCGCAACGGCGGCTGTGCGGCTGACTTGGCCGACAGCTCACCACCAACAGCAGCAGCAGCAGCAACAACAACAACAACAACAACAACAACCGCAGTCAGCGTCGTCGTCTACCTTTTTCGTGCCTTTTCAAGTGTTTTTTATTGCTGCACAACCTCCCCTTTCCCCTCCTAAGCGGAGCATAGAGCAAGCCAGCCAGTGAGTGAGTGAGTGAGCGAGAGAGTGACTGACTGTCTGTATGTGTGTGTGTGTGTCTGTGTGTGTGTGAGCGAGAACGTGTGTCTGGTTTGGCGCTGTGTTCAGTCTCGGCTTTGCGACCAGTTTCAACTCCCTGATATGAACCAGCTGTGTCTGCCTGGGCCACACACACACACACACACACACATGTGTACACATTGACATACACACTGACATGTACATATGTGTGTGTGTGTGCGTGTGTGTTGCTACAACAGAGTATGCAATTTTGGTAAGTCCAACGTTTACCGTTATAGCCAGCTACCAACTGATCGCAGCTCGACTAGCTGACTTAGCCCAGCTTATCTACCTGTTCCAATGGCCTGGCCAGCAGCTAATTAAAAGCGCCCTTTCGAGTAGATGTGCCAAAAGCGTTTTGTATTTTTAGGACTTGGCTCTACACCTCGTTTTCTTTTCTCTTGCTCCTTCTGTTTCTTTGTTTTCCTTGTATTTCGCATATGCGCTGTGATTTGTTGTTTTAGTTGTTGCTGTTGTTGTTGTAGCGCTAATTCGCAGCATTTCATTTGCGGCTCTTTTCATTAATAAGTTTCACGCGCCGCTCATTTTTCAACACGTTCGCGCCCCGCAACCCCCAAGTAGCCCCTATAAACCACTTCGGTTACCTATCCTTTGCTTAGCTTGTGTCTGGCTCCGATTACCATGTTGATGTTGTATTTACGTATGTATAATGTGTATGTACACATACATACATATGTATATCAAAAAGTATATTTGCGTAAAAACACCAACTGAGGGCTTAGCATAAATTTGGTTTCGGCTTTTTATTTTATTTCTGCTAATTTCATTTTATTTGGTTTCTCACGCTGCGGCTTCATAAATTTGCTCAGCAAATTTGTATGGGAAGCTGTGAGTGTAGGTAGACGAGATGATTCAGCTAGGTAGACGGCTCTAGAGAGATATATGTATGATTAAAGGTAAAAGTGTAAATAAACTTGGCTTGGAGTAATGCTTAAACATATTCAAGTGGCAACGTGTGAATGGGGTAGATGGAGACTGAGAGGGGAAATTCTATGAGATTTATACTATAAAGAAAGGTATATATAGAAATTCATGTATAAGTACAGCACATATATGTAGATAGATAGCATCATCGCTATATGTACCTATAAATTCGATTGCTTTGCCAACTTGTTAATCTGATACTAATCAACAATGCACGACGCGGATGAAAGCACATGAGAGTTGCATAGAAGGACAATCTTTTTAACAGTTATTAAATCTAAGCTTATTTATCTGTAAAGATCTATTGACTGAGCCCAGCTGCTGCAACGAATGTCGCCTGCGCCTGCGTAACGTAGGCTAGACATAAACCATAGTCAGACCAAGAAACTTGTTTCAGCCAGGCAAAACAACAACAATGGCAACAGCAGCAGCAGCAACAACAACAAGCACAAGTGAAGCTTAGAGCAGAACAAAACTTAAGCTATGACCGATACTGATGGAGACTGCAGCATGCCACATGCCGCATGCCGCATGCAACTTGCAACCTGGGCAGCCGCACGACACTTGACGCTCCCTAAGGCCAGGTATTTGCAACAACAGCAACAACTGCAAATAACTGTGACCAGGAATGCGCAAACAAGAACAAGACACTTGCCTTGCACGCAATGCGAGTCGCTATCAAAATAATGCCATTGCCATTGCAATACGTATACGCACCGTATATCGAGTATTTGAATGTGATACTGCAACTGCGGCTGGGGGTGTGGCAGGCGTGGCATGCATAGCTATAAACCTTGTCACTTCGCTGAGCAGTCGGCCCTGCTTGTCAGCTTGAGTTTCTATTCTCCACCATCCCTCCTCTCTCTCTCTCTCTCTCTCTCTCTTACTCACCAACTGGCTTTCAGATGCAAATTAAGTCATTTGCGTGTGGACCATAAATGTCAACGGCTACGCTTCTCATTTGAGCCAATTTGAACTCTGTCATTTTGGCTCGAAAACTTGAGAATTGTTTGTGTCCAGTGATCTATGTCTTGTTGTTGTTGCTGTTGGTGTTGTTGTTGTTGCTATTGTGGCTGCTGCCTTCTCTCTTGACTACGAGATCCGTTTCGCCTCGTCTCTGTGTATTTGTGTTTGTACGAGCCGACTGGCCAGCTAGCTGGCTGGCTATCTGTCTGTCTGTCTGCCTGGCTGGCTGGGCTTGTGTATTAACCTGCCGCACCGGTTTCGGTTTATGTTTTAGCCAACGCCATCATCATCATCCATTACTTATGCTCATATATATGTATGTGTATGTATGTGTGTGTGTATGTCTATATAGGTGTATTTCTATTTCTCTTTTAATTTTCTTTCGAGCGCGCGCAAAGTTGTTGTTGTTGTTGCTGCGACTTGTTGCTGCCTCTTTATTTATTTTTTAACCAGTTTCTTTGCTGCAACCTGAGCGCGAATGAGCCATAAATAACAAAAACAGCAACACCAGCAACAACAACAACAACAACAACAACAGCAGCCAAAGTGCTGCGGCTGTCCCGGTTTCCAGGAAGCAAATGTCCGTCCCGATTGTCGCTGTCTGTGTCTGCAATTCGCGTGCAGAGAAAGAGAAAGAGAGAGAGAGAGAGAGAGAGAGCTATTTGGCTTGACTGACTGCGTGACTGGCTGCCTGGCTGCCCAGGCGTCTATGGATTATGCAACTTTTGGTTTTTATTTGAAAATTTAATAATCCGCAGCGCGTTGGCGTCGCTTCCTTGATGGCCAAAGACAGACACAAACACAGAGGTTCAGAGAAAGAGAGAGAGAGAGAGAGAGAGAGGGAGACCGAGACTGCGTCAATCATGTTGTGCAGCTTTTCAGCGCGCCCACAAAGCAAATTCCATTGTGTGAGCCGTGTTAAGGCTTAAAGTCTTAATCCCCACGACTGTGGAATTTTGCGCATCTAATCAAAATCTAATTCGCCGCGCAGCAGAAAGTGCATTCCGCAGCCGTATGTGATGTACTTGGCCAACAATCAGCAGTCGTGACAGCCGTCGAGTGGTCTGCTCCGATAGCTCCGAGCAAACAACAGTTGGCATGTGTTTTGAAAAGACCCAGTGTGCGCGCTCTCTCTCTCTCTCTCTCTCTCTCTATCTCTATCTTTGTCTCAGACTGTTTCAAAACACTCCCAGGGAATCCCCACATACGAAACAGCAACACAAACATTCAAAAGCAGCAGCAGCGTATTTCATTACCTTCTTCAGAATTGCTGCATGTGCAAAAATCAGTTGAATATACAAATGCATATAAATATATATATACATATGTGTATGTATGTGTGTGTGTGTGTACATCTGTTTAACTGTACCGTTAACCTTGACCAATAAGACATCTTTCAAGTGTGTTGAAATCGAATGTATTTGTCATACTTAATAAACATGTCTAAAGTTTCAGGCTTTCCGTTTCTCCCCTGAAAGCCCACTAAAAGGTCAGTTACAATGCCTATAAAGCCAGCCGCTGATAAAGTCCAAATGCTGATAAGCAGCTACGGGCAAGTGCAGTTGTTCAATATCATTTATGGGTTTTCGCTAGAATTTTAGTCAATAAAGTTGATCGTATAGCGAGGGAGAGCGCCAAGTGGATATTTTGTTATATTTTTGTTTTTTTTGGCGAGTTCACTTCGCATGGAGACAATGCAACAAGTATTCGCTGGCCAGAGTCGCGCATCTATATATACACATCTATCTATATCTATATACATATATCTATTTATATAAGCCAACAGACGTGAATGCAGCCCAGACGCCAGGCTGGAAATGCCAAAGCGAATCGGGAAAAGAGAGAGAGAGAGAGTGCAACAAATATTTAGTCAAGTGGAGAAATTTCTGCTGATGGCTGCATCTGAGTTGGCTGCTTAGGCACCCTTCGCTCCGCCAATTGCATTTGCCTTGGCGATAAGAAAGAAGATAAAAAATCGCTGCGAGCGGCGCCTGAACTCTGGGCACGCTGCCAAACGCAGAGATGGCAATGAAAATGGCAGCGGGCAAAATGAGCATAGCAGCCCAGACAGCACGCACTAATGTCCAACTCTGTGTCCGATTCCATTGCAGCCTGCCCAAGGAAATGATCGACTAGACCAAGGCAGCCCGAGGCCACGAGATGCACGAACTGTTTACGAAAGTGCTCGCCAAGCGCGATTTGTCGAGAGCGGGAGATCTGTTCTCGGTGCCCGATGCGGACATTGTCAACGACATCACGGAGGTGGTAAGTGGCCCCACATGATGCTCGCTGGATACCGAATTGAACTCATGTCTCTCACCTGCAGCTCTGTGAAATAAATCCGATCATCTCGCACGCGGATTACGTGAAGAACAACAATGATCAGAGCGTGGTGGAGATCTGCGTGACGCGTGTGCTCTCCTGCATCCGGGAGACACGCAGCGCGGAGCGCTACTGCGCAGCCCTGGTGGATTTGCTGAAGACCTGCTTGCTGTGGAACCTGCAGCCAGTGGCTGCCACCAAGGAGGAGCCGCCGCATGCCAAGATCGCCGCTGACATAATATCCAGCATATTCCTGGTACGTACTCCTCGACTCACCCTGGACACCCTCGGCTGACCCTGTTTCTGAACCTTTGCAGAACTATGATAAAAAAGAACTGATGAAGATAGCGCTGCCCATTGCCGTGCAGTTCCTGCCCAAGGGCAACAAGGAGCTGTCCCGCAACCTGGCCAGCTATCTGTCCCTGGCTGCCATTGACTACGCCTACTTGCTGATAGACATCATGGAGCCCATCATGGACTCCATTCTAGCTGGTAACTACGGCCTGCTGCGCGTGCTCTCGCAGGTGTACGAGGTCTCGCCGGAGACGGTGACGCCGCATGCGCCGCAGCTCATCCCACTGTTGCCGCAGTGCGACGCCCAGGAGCGCATGGCTGTCTTCCAGCTGTATCTGCTCATTGTGCAGAAGTCGCCGGCGGTGCTGGAGTCGTGTGTGCCGCAGCTGTGCAACTTCCTGCAGGACAGCGACACCTCCAACATCACCATGCAGATCCTGCTCAAGCTGGCGCAGCATGCGCCCCATCTGCTGGTCGAGCACTTCGAGCAGCTGCGCCAGGCGGCCAAGGCCAATCCCAGCACGGTCACACTCTGCGCCCAGATACTGACCACCGCGGGCATTGGCAGCAAGGAGACGGCACAGCAGGCTCTGGACTTTGTGCTGGAGCACCTGCCCGCCCAGGCGCTGCTGCAGCAGGAGGCGACGCGCCTGTGCTCCGCCTATCCGGTGCTCTTCACGGACAAGGTGCTTGCCTGTGTGCGACAGAAGAACGCTGCGCTCAGCTCGCAGCACGATGTGGGCAACAAGATCTCTGGCGGCGTCACCATTGTCAGCCTCAACAGCAGCTCCACCCCCGGCCCCAGCCCCAGCGCCAGCACCAGCACGCAGATCAAGCCAGGTACGTGGCATGGCTCAGCCAGCAGCAGTTGCACCCATTTTCACTTTATGCATTTCTTTACAGCTGCTCCAACTGCCACGCCCCCGAGCAGCAGCAGCAACAACAATATTGTTCAGCAGCCAAGCTCCGTTAATGCCATGCCCACGCCCAGTGCAGCGCCTGCGCCCACGACGGCCGCAGCAGCAGCAGCAGCACCCGCGGCAGCTGCGCCCGTTGCCATGCACACGCCCACGCCCACGCCTCCGCACACAGGCTACACGAGGCGCGTGAAGCTGGGCGACTCGCGCAGCACTGGCCGCCTGCATCCGGCGAGCAACACCCACAGGAGCGTCACGCGCCTCAACGTGGCCAGCGGCTCGGTCGGCGGCCTGCACAAGAGCATGACGCGGCTGAGCAACTCACAAATCAATCAGCAGCCCGGCGGCAGCTCCAATGGCAATGTGATCGTGCAGACAGGTGCCATGCCCAAGCAGCCAACGTCGCCGGCCAATCCGCCGGTCACGCCTGTGCCGCCCTTAAGCAACGATGTGATCATCACTGGACACAACAAGCACGGCATTCCCGTGACCTCGGGCGGAGTGACCGTGACCACGTCGCCGTCCAAGGTGCGCCCGCACTCGCAGGGCCCCTCCACGCTGCTCAACTCCAGCTCGGTGCTGATGAAGTACAGCACGGACGCACTGAACCAGTCCGTGGGCTCCATCTCCATACCACCATCGGTGGCTGCATCCACAGCCGCGGTGCAGCAGTCGCAGAACGCCGTCTCCGTGCATCATGCGTCGCCAGCTGTGCCGCCATCGTCCAGCAACGGCAATGCCAAGTCTGTCATGAAGCTGCCCGTGAATGGAAATGTAAGTATAGTGGAAATATCTGAGATTTCCCTTGGGTTACCTTTTGCTTTGATCCGTTGCAGAGCGAGGTGATTGTCTCGGGTCCCACAACCACGACGAATGTGGCGCCCAGGCGCAGCGACAACACCAGCCGCACTCTGCTCAATGCCAACAGCGTGATGGATCAGCGCATGAGCACCTTCGAGCCGTACCAGATCATGCGCGATCCCGTGCAGCAGTTCTGCGAAAAGAACTTTGTCTCGATTAAGTCATATATGGACGAGGTCTCACAGCATTTGCCGCCGCCCACACGCTGCAGCATCGAGGGTAGGTTCCTCCTGCTCTGGCTCTCTCTCACTGCTCTTTACTGATCTGTCTCTCTCTCTCTCTCTCTCGCTCTACACATATTCCACTTAACCCACTCTCTCACACACTCACACTCACACTCACACACACACACATACACATCACACAGTTTCTAATGAATTTGCAGAGCGTCGCAAGAAGGTGGCGAAGCTGCACTTCGCCTGCCAGATTCGTGGTCCGCATTGCCTGTACTCCAAGACGTGCTTCACGATGCGCACGCGCAACCCCAAAACCTGGATACACCTGATCTTTCTTGATTTTCAAGTGCGCCATTTTGTAAGTTTGACCCGGCAATGATCTTGAAGGAAGCAAACTGAATGGGAATTCCTTCTCTTCCCTCTTCAGGTGAAGGAGAAGTGCGTGCTCAGCACTCGTGAGCCGGGCATCAGCAATCTGAAGAACATCTGGCAGATACTCAAGTGCGAGAATCGCAGCTTCACCGAACTGGTCACCAGTCAATTTCCCCAGGTCAAGGTGAATATTTATATATGGCCAACAAAGCTTCTCCTGCTAATTGCACTACTCCTTTGGTCTTTTCCTTGCAGGACCGGGAGATTCTTGTGAACGAGCTGCGTCACTCGGGCTTTCTGGATGTCTTCGAAGTGTCCAAGACGGACAAGTCGAATCCCAACTGCAATGAGCTGGAGTATCAGTGGGGCTGCTTCCTGTGCAATCATCCGGACAAGGCGGTTGGCTTCCTCAATGGCAGCAATCAGCCCATGATCGAGGGCCAGCTCAAGGAGAAGAAGGGCAAGTGGCGACTGTTTAGGCGCTGGCGCACGCGCTACTTTACGCTCTCCGGCGCACATCTCTCCTGCAAGGGATCCGTAAGTGTGCATACAGATCCTCTGAATAGATTTTTCATAGAATCTCTAACATTTTCTAGAGCGGCGGCGAAAGCATCGATGTCAATCAAATACGCTCCGTGAAGGTTTCGCGTGGCGCTCGCAACATACCCAAGGCATTTGAGATCTTTACTGCCGATCAGACCCTAATACTCAAGCCCAAGGACGGCAAGAATGCCGAGGAGTGGGTGCAGTGCCTCAGCATTGTCGTTGCCCACTCGCAGGCGCGCGACAATCCCACTGTGAAGACGAACAGCCTGCCCGCCCGCAGCATTGGCAGCAGCAAGCCCTCCTTCTAGCTTGCCACGAAACCCAATCCCCCCCGAACCCAATCGCAACCTGAACCTACATTGTGAGATTATCTGTAATTGTAAAGACCACAAACAAAACACATAAAAGACAAAATGCGGCGGCCGCAACATATAGCTGTCTATATATATACATATACATATGCATATACCTATACTATATACGAATACATGTTATATATATATGAACGTATTTATGCCCATACTTATAGACTTATCTAGCAATTAGTACCTACCATTTCAAGGGATTTTTCAAAAATTTTGCGAAATTGTTTTTACGAAAGTAGTTGATTTTTTTTACATTTAGTTTATGCTTATTTATTGTACATGTATTATACAAACAAAAAAACATCTTTCTATCGAAACAAAAACTTATTAAATTGGATTTATTTTTATTATCAAACTAGCGGGATTATCAATATATCAGATGTATAGATTATGGGTGAAATATTGTTAGGAGTATTAGCTAATTTCCAAGAGGCTAAACGACTTAGACCCAATAAGATAAAGTATAATCTCAGCAGCGTCAACAACTAAGTCCAGCCGGAAATGATGGACACATTTCTCGCAAGCATCTTCTAGAAATCACTTTGTCCTTTATATATTTTTATTTCCGCAGATAAAATAAGCAATAAAAGCCAATCATATTCAATTTTGCAATTTCTATTTAATATTTTTCTATAATACACTTTTGGGATTTCTTTTTATATTAAACGTAAATTTATAAACTAAAATTGCTGCATGAGTTAAGCCACGGATCATTGAACTCAAGTGACCAGATAGCTAAGCATATGTCTGTAAATTTCCGATTTTTTATAAACTTTGCCAACAGCTTTGCTTAACATGTAGTTCACCGTTTGCCAAAGCTCGTCGAGTTAAATTTTTCTAAAAATGTTATTCATTTAGCTCCTAACACTTAGGCTGAGCATCGATCAATTAGTCAGTCAGTCAATCAATCAGGACAAACACCCATGTAAATCTATTTAAGTATATTTATATATGCACCCCTCAAATGCATTTGTGGCAAATAAATTTTGCTGCCGCCTGAAAGTATGCAACAAAATTTGTGAGAGATCGCTTCAACGCCAGCAACTTGAAATTGTAATAAATTAGTAATTTGAGAACTTCCCATAGTAAATTTGGACTTGGCATAATACTAGCTTGAAAGACAAAGATTTTGTTAATTTAGTTTGTTAATTGAATTTCGAAACAGTTCAGATTAGTTAAGGAGGCTAAAAGTAATTGATATCGAGCTAAATAAATTGTTGTTTGCAGCGGCTTTAAAGCTTCACACACTTGCTTCGAGTTGGACGCAAACATTTCTAACTAACTACGTGTGGAACAACTCTTAAGTACTATTAGTTAACTAGAGAATTAACGACAATTTGACACGGTTCAGGGCCGGGACGTGGGCACACCCGCACCGCCATTGGCATTGAGATCGCATTGCTGCTCGTTTAGCTCCAATAGCTGAGTCCAATTGGCATTCAGCCGCACGATCTCCATGTCACGGCGTAGCTGCTGCAGCATCGTATGCTCCGTCAGGCATTGGCAATCGTCTAGGACGCGACTGACATGCTCCAGCTGGTTGGCATAGATGCGCAGACGCTCCACATTGTTGTTGTCCTGTTGGGGAGCACCGTTGACCTGTGGATATCAGGAAGCCGAATTAGCTATTTGCTTGCCATAGATAGGTGGGAATAGGATAGCTCACCGTTGGCTGATTGCCGAACACCTTACGCAGATAGCTGCTGACACGCTCATCCAGGAGCTGTCCATCCGCATGCCACATCTTCAGCAGATTCAGTATGCCCAGGACGTCGCCCTGCTCGGGCATCTGGTTGGGCGAGAGCAGCTGCATGGGCGGAAACTCTGTGGTGGGCGACAGCTTTTTGTAGCTGCTGCAGAGCGTGCTCAGCGTGCAGATGTCCTCATTGAGGCGCTGTCATTGAGCCGCAACAAAAAGCGAACAGCAAACCGAAGCAGCAACAACAGCGAAAGCAAGTCGAGAATCAGGACAGGGAGCATTATGGGCATTATGGCAATTAGTTAACGGATTTCATTTCAAACGAAAGAGTGCGCTTCTGAACTTGATTTGTGACTGGGACTGTCCGTTGACGGTTACGAATGAGTATTATACAAATCGTTGGCATGAGAAACAAAGTACAAGAAATGATATAGATGACTTGATCTGAATAATGACGATAATGATGATGATGATGATGATGATGGCAAACTGAACAAGTCAAATGATGAACGTAAATTAGGCCAAGAGTTCGGTTTATTCTAAATCAAATAATACGTAAGACTAAAAATACGATTAACATATAAGATAAGATCAGCTGCAACGCGACTGTTTAACATAAGATTATATATCTGGCGACTAAACGATATAACGATATATAGAAATGTCTTCGAAGGGTGCGCAACACAAAAAATTAAATGTAGTCCATGAATTGAACGTGGCTAAAACCTTACGTCGATCTCGTTGCGATGTCGCTGCATTTCCGCCTTGGCGCCGCTCAGGTCGCTGCCCTTAATCATCAGCTCCTGTGTGGCATCCATCAGTTCATCCTGCAGCTTCAGGTTGTCATCCTCCAGGTCTTTTAGTTTCTCCAGCATATCCTCCTTATGCTGCTGCAATTTATTTCTGTGGAGGAAGTGAAATTTCAGTATAAATTCCGATAAGGGCAGGGGAAATGGAATGCCACTCACTTGTCCACGATCAGCTGCTGTATGCAGTTGTCGTTGTCTAGCTGAACGAGTCGCAGCACCTTGAGCAGCTTGGTGACCAGCGTGTCCACCTCGATGACCTGGTCGACCACTGCCTGTGCCGTGCTGTACTCCATCAACGAGGGCAGCTCCGCCAGCGAGTCGTGGCAGCTGAGCTCCTCCGTATTACATTGCTCGCGATTGCTGTGGACGAAGCAGTTAGATCCAGCTGATAGTTGATTTATTGTGTTACTCACTTGCTGGGCAGCACGCTGAGCTTGTGCACATGCAGCTCCATCTGTTGGCGGTTGGTTATGGCCTGCGATAGTTGCTGCAGTGAATCGTCGCTATTGCCAGCGGCTGTCGGCTGATGCTGCTGCAGCTGCTGCAGCTGCTGCTGCTGACTGCATTGGCTGATCAGCTCTGTGGGTAGCTCGATTTGCGAGATCATGCCCGTGCAGGAGGAGACCATGTTGTGCGAGTGCGAGTCCGGCTGCACCACATCCTCCAGCACATTGTCCATCATGAGCAAGCAAGGCTGCAAGGGAACAGATGTGAAAAGCTCCAGGGACTGGGCAATGGCTGTAGGACTTACCTCCGTCTCAGAGTCCAGCATCTCCGTGGAATCGGAATCATCTGCGAATAGACACATGCATATATAGCCATTGCTCTGTTATAACTAGCTCTGCCCTACCTTCGTTGCCATTGTGGTTGGCCTGTTCGTTGTTGTTGAGCGCTGTCGCGGCATTTGCGGCGCCTGCTCCTGCAGCTCCTTGGCCGTGACGTTTGCCCGCCTGCCGCAGCGAAAGTCGCTTTCCCGAGTGGGTGGTGGCCTGACGAATGGCACCAATAACGGCAGCTATGAAGGATTGATTGCGCTGCGGCGACAAGGAGCCATCGCTGGTGAGTACCAGAGTGTTCAGAGCATCGCCAGCCGTTGCTGGATTCAATGGCAGGTCCAAGCCGTTGGGCTTGAGGCCATTCTGGGCGTGCTCCGTTTCTGCGGCCAGCGACTCTGCCTGGAAACGTGTGTCCTGCAAAAACAAATCGTTAGTTGATATTTGAGCTCTGGTAGTTCTCCAGCTCACCTCCAAATCCTGCTCGGATATGCTGTAGGAGCACACCAGCTGCTCCACCAGATTGTCGAGCCGCGCATGCAGGCCCGACAGGGCCGTCGAGGCGCCCGCCACCGCCGCATTCTGCTGATGTATTAGCTCTCGGGATTTGTTCTCCAGCGCCGCATATTTCGTTTGCAGCAGTCGATTCTCCTGGCGCCGCTGCTCGTTGAGCCGCACCAGATGCCGGCACTCGTCGCGCAGCACCTTGGCCTCCTCCTCACGATTGGCCAGCTGCGCCTTGGCCGTCAAGTGCTCCGTCTCCAGCTCCCGCAGCGCATCGCACTGGGCGGCCTTTTCGTGCTGCAGGAAGTCCTGCAGCTCGCTGGACTCCTGCTCGATGGCGGCCTTCTCCTGCAGCAGCAGCTGCTGCGTGGCCAGCGAGCGATGCATCTCCTGTTGCAGGGCGCGGCACAGCGCACGCAGCTGCCCAATCTCTTGCTGGCGCTCGATCAGCTCATGGCCGCTCATCTGAATCTGTGACTCCAGCATGAGCAGGCTGTCATGTCCGCTGCCATCCCCGCTGTCCTCGGAGGTGGGCGTGCCTGCGCTGGCGCTGACCACGCGCGCCAGTTCCAGCATGCCCATGACACGCTCCGTGTTGAGATGCAGCTCCTGTTGCATGGCCAGCTTCTCCTCCCGCTCGCGCTGCAGCTTGCCGCTGAGCTGGCGCACCTCCAGGCGCAGCTGCTCTAGCTCATGATCACGCTGGTCCGGCTCCGCCTGCGTGCTCTGATCCAGCTGCTCCACGGCGTCCAGGGCGCGCGTCTGCAGCATACCGCCACCCAAAACCTGCTCCAGATCCTCGCTGGTCAGCGCCGTCTGCACCGCCGTCTCATGGTAGATGCGTGTCCTGGGCGTTGCCAGCTGCTGCGGCTGTGGGCGACGCAGCGAATTGACCTTTGCGCTGACTGTGGGCGGTGCCAGGCTGCGCCGGCTCGTGGGCATCACCATGACTGACGAGGTCATCCGGGAATCCACAACAGCTGCTCGGCTGATGGAATTGCTGCGTGATAGACGCCCAGCACTTAGATCCTCCACGGACTGCTGCCTGCGACGGCGGGGCAGAGTGCCTCCTGCAATTAAGAGGGGAATGGTCAGAGAAGCTTGAGAGGAATGCAGGGAATTTTCGAAGCTCACCTGGTGCCGGACTGCCCCGCATGCGATTGGCCATCACATCCGGAGTCACAGACATGCCGCGTCGCTGGCCGGCGGCGCCGCGATTCGCCGGCCAGCGTCCGTCCTCGGAGGG